CTTCTTCTGAACTAAATCCATTGAAAACCGTTGTTCCCATCCAAGATCTGTTAGGTAAAATATATGGGAGTTGGCTTGGAGCAGCACTTGGGGGATTAGGCCAGTTAATGGTCAGCCAACTTGAAGACTCTTTAACAGCATGTCAACCACAATCTCCTATATAAAACAGCAGAATAAAGAAAAAACATTTAATACAATGCTGCTACCAAAAGACAACATGAAGAATGGGTGTTGTCTTCTCTCTCCCCCTCCCCCCTCTTTCTTTCTTTCTTTCTTTCTTTCTTTCTTTCTTTCTTTCTTTCTTTCTTTCTTTCTTTCTTTCTTTCTTTCTTTCTTCTCTCTCTCTCTTTTTCTTTCTTTCTTTTGCCATCATTTAACTTAGCCTGACATTACACAGAGAACAAGAAATATTTCTCCAGTAGAGATGGGGCTGCCATAAAAACCTTCTTTATACCCCATTAAGGCTCTTACCAGAAGTAATTTCCTTTTTTTCAATCAATAATGCATAGATGTGCATTCAAGATTTCCAAATGAAGAATGAGCTAGAAGGTGTTGCTACTACTGTGAAGCTAAAACTTTTATGTGTGGCTTATTGAAATAGAATCGATCGGTGAAGCAGACATTTTCCTCCTCAAACTCCCAAGACTTTTAGAATGGATCCTCCCTCCCACTGCTGTTTTAGCCTTGAGTTTTAGATCTTTCAGACTTGTTGGTACAATGGGATATACTGTAAAAATTCTTTTGGCTGGAAAATACAGCTAGTGTTATTGCATCTAGTACTTAACTTGTTTACATGTGTGTTTATTAATTTATCTGAAATATTTATATTCTGCCTTTCTTCCTGGCAACAGTCCTCCAGGGCAGCAGGTGATAAACAGTTAGGGAAAATCAAAACACAATAAATGCAGTAAAATTATACATTATCACATGATGAAGCTATCCCCAGTGAACAGCTTGATTTCTGGCTTTATTACAGGCCTGTTTGCTATCTCAGATTCTCCGAAGGGATGCATCATGGTTGAGCCCTCCTTTCAAGTTACCCTAGAAGTTACAGTGCAGAGGCCCACTCTTTCTTTGTAGCAGCCATGGTGTTATGGGTTACCCTCCTTGAGGAGATGGCAGAGTGCCCCATGCAGTGTGCTTTCTTTTAAGAAATGTAAGATTATTATTTTCAGGCAAGCATTTGACAGCTCATCTGTAAAGTGGGTATCATATCGATGGGAAGTGGTACAGCTGTTTTCTTATTTCTAGTTGTCTGTTTGTGGGTTTTCTTTGTTTCCCGTGAGTCAGGATTCTTGTAAATTTTCTTGAGCTGCCACAGTCAGTGGGAGATGACAGCCTATAAATATTTAAATAAATAAATCTATTACACCATTAAGGCGAGCATAAGGTAACATTTATGTAAAATATTTTAGCCCTGCCTCTCCAATATAAATGTCTAAGAAGCAGCTGGCAACAAAAATGAATAACAATATTAATAAAAACAGCAATAGAATGATAACTGCAGCAAGGCAGAAAAATAATAGGCAGATGAAAACGACTAACAATCACATCAAAGGGGGGGGGAGGAAGAAGTCCTCTGAAACAATTAAAGAGCACGACTCAAAGACGGCTGATCTAAATGCTCAGGAAAATAAAAAAATTGGTCGGTGCATGATTCAGTTCTTGATGTGCTTCTGTAGGAATTGGGCTTAAGAGTAGACCAGTGGTACATGTAGCCTAGCATCCTGTCTCACACAGTCACCCATCAGTTACTGTGAAGGGGAAGCAACAGGGCATTGAGGCTGAGGCCTTCCCCCAGTGTTGCCTCTTAGCACTGGTGTTCAGAGGTCTTCTGCCTGTGAACGTGGAGGTTCCATTACTCACCATGGCTAGTAGTCAGTGATGGACGTATCCTCTATGACTTTGCCTAATCGCCTTTTAAAGTTATCTGTGCTTACGGTTATCACTACATACTCCGGCAGTGAATTCTTTATTGTACTCACTCATTGATGAAAGGAGTACTGAATCTTTTGCCCATCGATTTAATTAGGTGCCCCAAGGAAGAGGAAGAAAAACTTTTGTCTTCCTGCTTTCTCACCCCATGCATAATTTTATAAACTTCTATCATGTCTCCCTTCCGTCAACTTTTTCCTGAACGGAAAAGTCCCTATTTCTTTAGTCTTTCTGCATAGGAAAGATGTTCCAACCTCTTAATAATCTCTTTCGTACTTTTTCCAGCTCTATAATGCTCTTTTTGAGATACAGTGATCAAAACCACACACATTACCCCAAAAGAGGCTGCACCAGAGGTGCATTACAGGTGAATTATTATACTGGCACTTTTAATTTCAGTCCCTTTCCTGGTAATCTCCAGCATGCAGTCTGGGGGGGGGGGTTGTTGTTGTTGTTGTTGTTTTTTGCAGCTATTGCCCACTAAGTTGACGTCTTTGTAGAGCTGTCCACCATAACTCCAAGGTCCCTTTCCCTCTCACTTTGAGCAAGTACTCAATCAGCATATACTTAGAGATGGGATTCCCCCCCCCCCAGTGTGCATCACCTTACACTTACCTACAGTGAACTTTGCTACATTGTTTCCCCCTCAGCCAACTCATGTGCCACCTCTGAAAAGGTTGTGTCTCTGGTATTCACCCACCTGGTTTCTGAAGGGGTGGTGGTGGATACAGACTTGTTCCTCAGATGAAGATCTTAATTGGCAGGCAGACTCATACAGGAGAAGGCACACATTATGTACAAAGCAGGGCTTGCTTACTTTAGGGTGACATTTTAATTTGGGGGGGGGGGTGGTTTCTTAACCCTCATGCAAGTTTTAAAAAGGAAGCCCAGGTTCTTTGAGGCTATCCAACTACCTCTGTTCCACCTTGAGACAAATTATTATAAAATGTTAGTTTGGATCCAGATTTATAAGCAGAAGCACCTTCATCTTTCCATGACAGCCCTTTGCATGTCCTGAAAATGCATAGCCGAGAGTTGGCAGAGCCTTGTGAAAAAATGCATGCCATACAGTGGTCTGCATTGAAGATCAGGCAAAATCATTGCTGCTGTCTGTTGCTTATGCTCAGCAGAACTTAAGCTCTTTAACATTTTTTCAGGTTTGGGTTGGTCAGGCTTGTAAACTCCGATTAAAGACTCTTGGGTCATAAGAACAATAGCGCAGAGAACTTCCTAGGGAGTGGTTTGACCATCTTGTCAGATCATTTAAGAAATTGGACTGTCTTGTGATGATCCATCAAAAACACTGGCAGAAGCAGAATTAGGCAGTAATGATTAATTCAAAATTCTTATCCAGATCTTGTAAGACCCTCAGTTTTGAACTATAGTGTCTCAAAGTACAGCTATGTTAGAGGTGTGTGATGCATTTCATTGCATAGTCTGAACAATCTTTTACAACTTATAGTACATAGGATATTAACAAGAGGCCTTTCCATCAGGGCCTGATAACACCTACTTCTCCCCCCCCCCACACACACACACTTTTGGCGTGTTTGAACATCCAGCAGGATAGAGAGTTCTAGGGAACTCAAAACCTTGCATGCACTTTTGTGTTATTGTGTGGCTTTTTGTTTTGGACTTCAATTGATATTAGATCCCCCACCCCACCCTCCACATCACTTGCTGCCTGGTCCTTTGCACTGGAGATGCTGGGGATTGAACCCTCAGCCTTCTGCATGCTAAGCAAATGCTCTTCCACTGAGCCACAGCCCCTTCCAATAGATGGCTGTAACACTTACCATAAGCCCTATCTCACTCCTTCTGTTGCCTTTTATGTCCTGGTGCAGACTTAGAACACTCCTGATCTCCTAACCATTGTTGGAGTGCAGCTTCCCATTAGCTCACGCTCTTCTTTTTCCTCCTCTCTGTCACACAAGTCCTAACTTCCTTTTTGGAGCAAAATGTGATGCAACAGTGAATCTACACTGATCTTGCCATTTATCGTGGTTGGTTTCCAACTGGCGGATGCATCCGTTAAAATGGATGCAATTGTTAGCTTCAAAAAAAGAAAAAAGGATGTAGGATTTGTCCACGCGGTAAGGAGCACAGAGTAGAAGGGGGAGAAGATTCCAGTTCCGTGGCACACCTGTTTCTTGATGATGGTTATATTTCTATCTTGGGATACATGCAATGGGAGAAGCCCACAGTAGTTTCTCCTTCTCACCCTGAAACTCCTCAAGGGACCACCTTGTGCAGGCAGAAGCCACCTTCTCCCTGTATTCCCCATTCAATCTAAGTTCAGTGTTGGGCCTCCCCACAGAGTTACCTTCCCAGCTCACCTGCCCACTCAGGTTCCGTCTTTGAAGTCCAAGAATGGCATTGTTCTGGGATTCTGCTGTGCCTCTGTTGGTGAAATTTGCCTGTCTGATGCCTTTTGTTTCTGTTCTTCTTGACCTCAACAGCTGAAGGTCTGTCTTGGCAAACCAAATGCCACGTGGTGTCATTCTTTTCTTTTCTTTTTTTTAAACTCCTTTTTGGAGACTGATTCCTTTTTTGAAATGTAGCTGCCACCCATTGAGGACATGTAATAAAGCAGGTCATCCCAGCCTTTTATCACTTTTCTGGGTGATGGTAGTAATGAATTTTTTATCTCGCTCTAATTCTGAGGTGCATACATGGTTTGGTTTGGTTTTTTAAGCTACTAATTGAAATTCAAATGTAATGAGATGAAGGGTTTTTTTGTTTTTTGTGGGTTTTTTTTTTTTGCTGTTCACCACAGTTGTCTTTTGTTTTAGTCCTTGTACGCTTGGTGCACCTCAAAGAGGCAGGCTTTGGTTCTGTTCTTAAATTCAAACATGAATAAGTTTTTTTTAAAAGGTAAAACAGCAGACTGTTTTTTTTAATGTCTTACAGTCAGAGGGAAGGCAGGGGAGGGAACCGTGTTTGTTCCTATTAGGTAAGATGGAGAAATGGCTTTGATTTGGGACGCAGGGAGAGAAGTCTTTATAATGAGATCAGATCTTTCTTTTTTTTTTTAAGCAGCATGCAAATGTGTTTCTATTGCCTAGGTAACTATTATGGAACACCCAAGCCTCCCAGCCAACCCCTCAGTGGGAAAGTGAATAACACGGATGCTTTGCAAAGCCTCCAATCCGGCTCCAAGCAGTCGACCCCCAAACGAACCAAGTCTTACAATGATATGCAAAATGCTGGCATAGTGCATACGGAGAATGAAGAGGAAGATGACGTCCCTGAAATGAACAGCAGCTTTACAGGTAAACATTTCCTTACCTTATGTACCTGGGAGAAGGGGGAATCAAAACAAATGCTTGTTGGACTCTCTAAATGTATTTCTAACATCCAAAGTCTTTAGTCTAAACCATGGAACAGAGAAGTGCATAACCACTCTCTGTTAAAACATTTACAGGGTGCACTTTTAAAACATTGATGAGTGCTTTCCCCCCCCCCCCCAAAAAGAAAGCTGCTTGTGAACAATATGAAAGAATGATTCTCTTAACATAGCCTGGTATCCTTTGGTTTAACAGCTGAACTGCAGCACTTGGCAGAGCACATGGACTGAGATTGCATTGAGAGGACCTGGGGAAGCTTCCCATGGTCTTTCTGCCTTGCAGTTATCAGATGGATTGAGAATAAGGGAGTGAGAGAAATAGTGAGGAATAGCATAAAGGCAAAGTCATTATTTGCTCAAGGATCTCTCATGCAGCTGTTGAATTTTTGAGGCACTGTGGACTTTTACACCTCTTAGGAAAAAAGAGAGTTCTCACTAGATGGTTGACCTCCTGACGCGAAGAGCTGATCTCTAGTTAATGTCCAAGTCCCCAGGATTCTTTTGCTGAGTCTCTCTTTGGGTAACCACAGCACCCATTTTCCCAAGCACGCAAGAAAATTAGGTTTATTATTTTATCAGCTAGTCAAACAAAGCTCTGTCTAACCATCTGGGTTTTATCTCTGTCTTTGCATACTTTCACCCCGAATGCATCATTTTGCCTCACCTTCTTTGTAACACTGGGAGAGCCAGGGCAGATAACATCTCCCACCTCCTGTAAGCCTCAAAAGTGTATCCTAATCTCTGCTAGGATTTAATCTTTAACATCAGTTGGAAGAAACAAAAATATTACCTGCTTTTAATAGTAACCACAGAATTTTCTGTTCAATAGGCAATTTTTTCAGGTGTCCTTAGAGGTGTACCACTACAGCAATGGTTATGTGGAATTGTCCCAGAAAAAAAAAATCACTGAAACTTAGTTCCAAGTGTCCATAATTTTGATAGATAAGATGAGAAACATAAGCTGACAAAAGGAGCTCTCCGCTTAGGTCAGATGTTTCTGAAGTTTATTTATGCATATGACCCTGTTTGATTTCAAAGTTTGTTATCTGTAAGCAATTGGTTTGTAATATAATTATTGTAGATATTTTGAGGGGTGGGGAGCAATGTTCCCGCTAAGGTGTGGAGTCTTGTGAGCAAAAATTCTACTTTGTGAGCTACTGGCATTAAAGTTGTGAGTGAGCAATTTGGCTACTGCATAAATTAGTTGTCTCTGGAGCCATCCTTCCTGAGCTAAGACAAAAACATATGAGCCGGAGGCTAAAAAACTGTGAGCTACCTCACATTAACTCAGCTTAGAGGGAACACTGGTGGGGAGCAATGAAAGACTGAGACGTTGGCAGTGCCATCCTAAGCAGGGTTATACACTTATAACTCCTCTGAAGTCAGCCTGGGATGGCGTTGTCAGGGAATCTTGCAAATCTTCCGCTTACTTCAATGTAATAAGCGCTAGATGGTGTCAATGACAATGCTGTGTTAGAATGTTCCTCTATTTAGAATTACAGTAGCTGTTTCCTTACCCTTCCAGTTAATGAAATTAAGCATTTGCAAGTAATTTAAGAGGTCCATTGAGTTGAACCACCACGCATAATGGTTTGATTGCTTTGGTTTTCAAGGTCTATCTTGGGTTCTTCTCCTTTGATGACCTTACTTAGGAGTGGTAGTGTTTAACTCCTACACAACTACTTTTGTACTAGAGTGGATTTAAGGAGGATTTGAAGGGACTGCATTGCACTGAGCTTGTGCAGTTCGGAAGATCAGTTTACCTTGTCAATGTGTCCTCTTTTCTCAGTGCTGCAAATCAAAGCGTTTTGAATCGGTAGATTCTGAGTGCAAAACTTGAGAATGCAGGTGAAAGTGCTGCCTTCTTTCTGACATGACCCATTACTATGTGCAGGCAGCTCTTGACATGGGGGAGCTTGCAGCCCTATGATCTTTGAGTTGCATCCAGAAGTGGCATCATCCCAGTGGGCTTTTTCTGGATTTGTAGATCTTTTAGAATTTTCCATGCAGATGTCTGTGCAACTTCATGTGTGTTTGCCATATATTATAGCTAGCTGCAAGACTTCTTACAAATAACCCAGAGTTCTTAATGGATGCTTATCCAGCGCCTTGGTTTAGGCAAGGTTTTCAAATAATGTAATTTTTCACAGACGCCTGGTTTCAAGGAACATCTTTAATATCATTGTCAAAAACAGTGCTCAGGTGTCTTCAAAATAAGAAGTTAGCTAAAATTCTAATAGCTAATTAAAGAGATCCTCTAGATCATTTGCATGTAACAATGACAACAACATTAATCACCAAAGTGCTATGCTAAGCAGTTAATGCTGATTAGATACTTGCAGATGCCCACATTAAGTGCTGCAGGTGAGTTTTTACATTTGGTGAAAATGTATCTTTCTACTTGTGTTTTTTTATGCATATCTGTGTACAGTTAGCATGGTTTAAAATGCTATGTGTTGCAAGTGGGTTAACATATGAACACATATAGCTGTCTCAAATGGGGTCCAACCATTGATCATTCTAGCTCAGCATTGCCTAACTGGCACTGAGTCTTATGGGTGTAAGGTCTCTACAAAACCTGCTGCTAGCAAACCAGCATGGTGGAGTAGTTAGTGTCAGGTTACAACTGGGGAGACCTGGTTTAAAATAGCTACTCACTTCCTAGTACTCACTTGACTGTCAGCCATTTTTTCTGTCTAATCCTACCTCAGAAAATTGTAAGGATAAAATGTAGAAAGGGAGAAACACACATGAAGAATCGGTTGTGTAAGGAGGTCAATTGACATGGATTATTTTTGCTGTGCGATACCAGCTAATTTTATAATTTGAAATCGGATTTGTTGTTTACACAAAGGGGTACTTCAGGCTAGCTGCTTATGTTCCATAAAATCATGAATCGATGCTTAGATTCTGAATAAAGGTCAGTAAATATTGTGGTTACATGACAACCATTAGGTTTTAATGATAAAAGCACAGGTCACAGCATACAATTACAGAAGTATTGCGGTTTTAATCCATTGTCTTAGTTTTGGTAGGAAGTTGAAGCTAAGTCTGTTGGGGTTTGGTCAGCGCCTCTATTGGAGATGACCTTGGAACTTTGTGTGCACTGTCTACTGTTCCACAAAGGAATATAAATGAAAGAAATAACTGTCTGTTGACTTCCTCGAATGAAGGACAGGATAAAAGTGGGTAGAGTGGTAGAAATTTGAGTTGAAGCTTGCAGGATTGAACCAGGCATCCTGTACATGCAAAATATATGCTGTACAACTGAGCCAAGCTCCTTCCCAATAGCTACCCTTGGATGGTAGTCAGCTGAAAGTTAGAGACAGGTCTTTCAATGTGAACATTGATACTCATTTGATCAAAATGTCTTTCCTACCCCCCACCCAAATCATAGTTCAAGCAACCATGATTTGACAGGTAACTTGCAAGAATTATGGAAATAAGCAAAGTGAAAATTGTGCTGCATCATTGACTGTCATCTGATTTATGCATGATTGTGTATTCTTCCTCAGCAGACTCTGGTGAACAAGACGAGCACAATACACACAGTACGAGAGAGACAGCTCCCCCACCTGTGAATAGCAGCATCACAACCGTTCCCACCACGGAACCTTCTCAGAAGCTCCCTCAATACCTACCTCCTTGTGCAGAGGAAAACTTGGGTCCTCTGCCCGAAAACTGGGAGATGGCCTATACAGAGAATGGAGAAGTCTACTTTATAGAGTAAAGCAGGGTTTATTTCTCTTCTTTTTGTGGTGGGTTGTGTGGCTTAGACGAAGAAAGAGCTAAATGTTCACAGCGTGTGAGGGGCAAGTTAGCCTTGATGGGAACAGCCCTTTGAAGCTACTAAGCGTGTTTACTCAGGAATAAGTCTCTCTGAATATGCTGAGACTTGTTCTAAGTAAGTGTGTACAGGATTATACTCTCAACTGTAACTCATGTGGACTTATTTGATAACAGGGACATCAGTGTGAGAAAGCTTCTCGAAGAATTGCTTTTATCTGTGAAGTTCAAGCGCTTGGCGAATAAACCAAAAACCAAGCAAGCCTCCGTTCTATGCCTGCGTTGACAACTGGGTAGTAGGGCGGGATGTGTCACACTTCTTACAACATCTATAGGAGAGGAGTCAGTGTTGTAAGCTAGGAAGCTGGCTTTTCATTTATGTGGTACTTAGCCCATGCCCTCATGAAGGCGCTGCTACCACTAGGCTTGTTTTTGAAGGACATTCAATTACTGTGCAGAAATCCCTTTATCCTCTGAGGACATAAAACGTTGTGCACCTTGGCAGACCCCCTTCCCGCATTATTGTTAATTTGACTTGCTTGCTGGACTTCTATACACTAGTTTACCAGTTGGAGATTAATTGCCTTAAAACGCATGAAAGAATTGCGTTCTGCAGTGCAAGGGTGGGCGAAGTAGTGTGTGAAACGGTGACCTTCCACTCCAGCTTTCACGTCTCCCGTTAATGGGTCACTGGGATGTGAAATCCTGCCTTTGAAAGCAGATCTGTTATTTGGCCATAAGTCTTCCAAAGAGCATGTAGGGCTCTTCACAGGAGGGTTAATTCATTTTGTTAAACCTCTTTTGAGGCTTGCGGAAGGAACTGGCTGAGGCATTAAACCACAATGGAAATGTGCAGTTTCCTCTTGGTCGAGACGGTTAGAAAAAGTGGTGTCAGCCTTCGTGGCTCATGGAAGGAAAAGTCCCATACAGTTGCAAAGTTCTGCCCTGTTGTGATGGTGTGTTGGACTAGTAAACCAATTTAAGATCCCTGCTTTTATCTGGTCCACAGTCCGAGTCCATCTGGCCCTCCAGAACTTCCCAGCTCACAGGTAGCATCTTGTGTTCACTGTTGCAAGCCGTACCACTTCCTGATAACCAAATTGGAAACTGGCACTGCCTGCTGTTCAAAAGGAGCTGCTTCTGAACTGGCAGGTAGCTCTTCTTTTCTCGTCAGGCCCTCGAGCTCTTCCCCCAGTCAGTGCTGGGACACCTGAGGTGCGTGAAGCGGTGCCGTGACTCTCGAGGATGCCCTTATCTATCTTGGGCTGTTTCCCAAATCATCATACCCAACGCCTATTTTGTTTTACTTTAAACCCAATCAAGTTTATTAGTTCTTCATTTTGATGAATGAAGTACCAGAAGCTTCATGGGCTGTGTTGACCCGGCCCGAAACTGGATCTGCATTTCTGTCTCTGTGTTATCGAAACAGTAAGGGGTTCTGTGGCACTTTAGGGACAAACAGATTTGTTAGAGTACAATCTTTTGTGGGCTAGAACCCCTTTCATCAGTGGAATGCAGTGAAACTTGTCATGCATCTGATAAAGTGGGCTGTTGCCTGCAGAGGACCTAAGGGTCAATAAATATATTAGTGTACATGGCAACAGACTAATATGGCCACCTCACTGGAATCTTGGCTGTTGTAGCCCAACAGCTCACAATGGTCCTACATATATAGTTATTGTAAAATTTAACTCAGGTTGTAATCTTACTTTATTGCCTTGGCAGCTAGCAAAATACTTGCTTATGTCCTGTTTTTACTGTGCAGTACTTTGATGAACGTTCGCACCAGTAACTACCATTAGTGAGACTTGATGGAAAGTTACTTTAAAAAAAAATTTTGAATGGGCCCTTACGTGGATTCCATATTTCTTGTTTTTCCGGTAGGCTTTGTTTGATCTTTCAATATTTGTTCTTAATTTTATCAAGTTTTAACCTGCTTCACTTTGCCAGTCCACCTGTGCACTGCAGGATGCTTTAAAATGCATCTTTGGGGTACATATTTCAGATTGTCACCCCTCCCTGCCACCCTAACCCAGCCTAAAGAGGGAGTGGGTGGGCACAAGCAAGAGGCACAGAAAAAGTGAGCTGACTGTAGCAGGGACTCACCCAGCTTCACCGTGGTGAGAGTTGGAGCACACCTGCCTATCCTATCCTACCTTCACCCAACCCTTCCTTACTACAGCAGGGGACAGGATGAGCCTGCCTGGCTTCTATCTAAGTCTCAGTGGTGCCAGTAGGGCGGGGGGGGGGGGGGGGGAGGAGGAGCAAGGCCAAGGCAGGCTCGGGATGGAGCCCTTTTTCAGGGCCATTTCTGCCTCACCTCAATCCGCCCCTGGAACAGAGAGAGTATGAACCAAGTTCTTATTTATATTGTATATATCTAGGCTTGCCAAGTCCCCCCAGGGGGTGGGGAAAACCCCGGGGGGAACTCCACCCCAACATGCACGTTGCCCGGAAGTGACCCGGGCACGCCGGGCACGCTGGGGGCGGGGCCACTGTCATCCGAGGGAATACTCTATGGTTTTCCCTCGGATGGTCGTGGTCCCGCCCCAGCATGCCCGCGTCACTTCCAGGTGACGTGGATGTGGTGCGCGCGCTCCAGCCACCAGCTGGGAGTCCCCCGCTGTGGCTGAATTCACACTGGCAACCCTATATATATCTGATCCTGAATCTGAACAGATTTGAAAATTTCATGCAACACTCTTCCAACATTAACCTACATGTACATCTTTAACTGCTGGTGATTTGTTTCACACTGTTGCATTTCTTAACACCCTGTTCTTCTCATAGTAAAATTAAAATGCCTTCAGTACAGATGACTAAAAGTAGTGGTCATGTGTTGTTTTCTGTCATTAATGCTTTAGCTCTAGTTTATTTTTTAAAAGGTCACATTTCCATTTTTGGTTTGCAGCCATAACACTAAAACTACGTCTTGGCTAGACCCACGGTGCCTGAATAAACAGCAAAAGCCTCTAGAAGAATGTGAAGATGATGGTAAGGAAGTAAATGCTTAAATAAAAATAGGGAAATATTTGCTTTCTCTAAAAAGAATGGGTTGGATCCTGGTTCTTTTCCTCTCCCAAATCAACAGTCTACAACATTGCCTGCACTTTCAGGCCATCCATAGCAACAGATTGACTGGATGGAGGTGAGCGTATCAATCAGTATCAAAGAAACACATCCAGCAACTTCAGTGGGTCCAGATGTGCACATGGGAATGCAAATTTGCATTGACATCAGTCATGCGTACAGGTCTTTCCTGGACCAGAGCATGACCCTAGGAAGCTCAGCTGTTCTTTTTCAACTTCTGTTCCATTGTGTAGGATGCAGATCCTACTATGAGACTGTTTTGTCTCCTTTTAGCTAGATAATTCTGGTCTTGTGCATAAGCTCTGTATCTGACTGAGGAGAATAATAGTTGGAAGCTCCTCTCTGGTTTTATGAGCTAGGAATATGTGTGCGTGTGTGTATATATGCTCTTCCCCCCCCCCCCACTCATGGCAATAACACTGATTATGGGTAAGTTTTCTGCTGTAAAAAGTACTCCTGAGTGAGTCCATTGGAGAAGCTGATAAATAGTCTCATTATAGTCATATAAAAGCCTACACTTAGGCACTTTTATTTGCATGGATGTATAGAATCTGTAACGACTGTTATTTTATTTGGATCCAAAGGTCATTACTGCTTTCTTGTTTTGATAAAAATTAAACATGTACATGTTGCTTGATATTTGCAGTTATATATTCCAGCAGTTTACTGGGGTAGTTAAAAAAAAACAATTGGCACTGATTTGATTTTTGCATTCCTTGAGCCACTGAAAAATGCAAGCCAGTGTCCAATTCAATGGGCCCTGAGTAGAACAACTTAGGACTCCATGAGAGCATTTGTTAAAACCCTTCAAAGAGCAGAGAGAAAAGAGGAAAAGAGACTGAAATTAGGAAGGATCAGCAACAAATCATAAACAGATATCCAGCCAAAGAAGAGAGAGGGATTTATACCCCGCCCTTCACTAACCAAAGGAGTCTCAGAGTGGCTTACAATCCCTTTCCCTTCCCTTCCCCACAACAGACACCCTGTGAAGTAGGTGGGGCTGAGGAGGGAGCTCTCTCGAGAACTGCCCTCGAGAAAACAGCTCTGAAAGAATTTATGACTGACCCAAGGTCACACCAGCAGCTGCATGCGGAGGAGTGGGAAATCAAACTCAGTTCTCCCAGATTAGAGTCCGGGCTCCTAACCACTACACTAGACTGGCTCATCCATGAGCACGCAGTTCATTTAAAATCAATTGATATCCCAGTGTATTCATATACTAAATTTCCCTTTGAACATTCAATTAATTGTTCTCAAGTTTGAATCAAGAGTTTGAGCCAAAATTGATGGCAAATTTGTTTGTTCATGTGTCTATCCCATTCACATATAAACTATGGGTGGCTGTTTATGTGTGTAATTTTAATATCAAAAGGAACGCATAGGTCAATGGAGCTGAATACTCTTCTCTACTCCTCCCTGCACTTCTCGTTTCATTATATTCTGACAGACTAAACTCTTTTCTCCTAGCTCGGCTCACTTTCGGTATCTGAATTAAGGAGGGGTGTATGTAAACAAGGAGGAAGTAAAGGAGGAAACCATTCACCTTATCTCTCTGTTCCTTTTGGTTTTAACCCTGCCATGCTTTATACAGGAACAAGGAAACATGGCTGCCACCATCACACCTAGTTTGGCCCTTAGGTTGCTGGTGTACATACTAATAGTTCTTTTGCTGCAGAAACTGTACATTGTTACTTTCAATTCTGGATATTTTTAAAAGTCTGTTATACTATAAATTCTATTAACATCAGCAGAGGCTTGCATTTAGGAGTTCTGACCGCGAACAGTGCAGCCCCTCTGCACTGTTACCTTTCTGGTCCTTAATTTTTAAATGTCTCCTGAAAGCACTCTCAGTCTCTTAACCGTCCCGTGTACCACCTTTCTTTCCCACTGAAACACAGGATGCTGGACTGATGATTATCTTCAGCTAATGTGGGCAATTAATATATACCACTATAATAATTTTCAATAAATAATTGTGTGCCCATATGACAACTCCTTTTAGTCAGCCAATTTTCTTTCCCGGGCCAACTTGATTACTAATGAATATTTGTAGCAGTCTGGGTTATAAATTCTCAGTTGTTTCATACCTGCCTTTTTTTTGCTTTATGCTGTTTATCAGGGTTTTTTAAATTTTTAATTATAATGAAATGACCCGGTGGGAGAAAAATAGAAAAGCTGTTACTTTGTATAGATGTCTCTGGCTGCAATGCAAATTTGATGGCCATGAAACGCTGCACAGTGACACTACATGGCTTTTGAGTACAGGGTTGCCAGCTCTGGGTTCTGGAGATTTTGTGGGTGGAGCTCGGGGAGGGCAGGGTTTGGAGAGGGGAGGGATCTTGGCTCCATACAATGTCATTTTCTCCAGGGGAGCTGAGAAAATGTCTGGAGATCAGTTGTAACAGCAGGAGATCTCCAGGCCCTACCTGGTGGGTGGCAACCCTTTTTGAGTATGAAGGTTTAAAATATATGAAGCTGCCTTTTAGAGAATGAGACAGTGGTCCATTTGGCCCGGGAAGGCCTCTGGCAACTGACCAGGGCTTTTTTTGTAGAAAAAGACCAGCAGAAACTCATTAGCATAGTAGGCCACACCCAACAGCAGAAACTTATTAGCATATTAGGCCACAACCCTGATGGCACAGCTCATTAGCTTATTAGGCCGCACCCCCATGTTACCAGAAGTGTGGACATCCAGCCACACCGACCTTTTGCTTCTTATTCTGTTTACCTTGTTTGTTGTCAAAACCTTTTTTTGTAGCAGGAACTCCTTTGCATGTTAGGCCATACACCACTGTAGCCAATCCTAATGAGTTTATGCTTTTGGGTGTGATCTGTTATGCTAATGAGTTCCTGCTGGGCGTGGCCAACTCGGGAGCCAGCTGGAACTCCGTTCCTGTGTGTTCCTGCCCAAAAATAGCCCTGGGCAACCCTGTTTGTGAAATTCTCTTAATTGGGCACACCAAGAGGTTGATTTTAGGATCTTATGTATAAAAAGCACCACTGAGCCATGAACCCGGTGAAACTCATAGGGTAGCTTCATTAAGTTAATTTGTGACAGTATGTCTATAGACTCAGATATCAGTTGCAAACTTTTTAGATGCATATGCTCTGACTTCTAGTATGGTTGCTTCTCGGTTACAATTTAATGTTTTTGAAATGCATAAAAGCTTCTGAAATAATGAACAATAGTTTGATGATGATGATGATGATGTCTCTCCTGTTTGGAGAATTTTTGAGGTCCAGCTGACTTGTGCTATATTGAATCCATTGCTCTCTTTTACCATTTGCTTGCAAGTTTTATCATTTCCCATTTGCTGGCTGCAATTTTGTTTCTAGACCAAAACAACACCTCCAGTCATTCATACCATCATCAGCAGATGGAAATGGTGCTCACTAAAATAAGTGGGTGATTAAGTGTTTTGAATGTGACACATTTTTTGCAAGTAATCGTCTGTTAAAGCAAACCTTGCATCAGAAAGCACTTTTGTTTGGGGACTTGTGTTTCAAAGGCTAGGACAAGGACCCCAGGACAAAGAGGTACTTTAGCACAAATGGACACAACCATTTGAGCAAACCCAGTGCATTACAGCAGGGTTTGTTCCGTAGGCTGTACTTGGTAGGTTGCACTCCTGTTAGCTTGGGGTGGGGGTTGGGCCATCAGTTACTTTGGAGCTCAAGCAGCAGCTCACTGAATGTAGTATTCCAACACTAAAGACAGATACTTGCACTGAGGCTTGGAATCCCATAGGTTTTCAAGAGCTCTGATTGATGCATAAAGCTACATGCACAAGAAGTAGGAATGGGAAACCCAGGTGTAGATTAACACATGAAGCTGCCTTATATTGAGTCACACCTTTGGTTTATCAAGATCAGTATTGTCCACTCTGACTGGCAGTGAGTCTCCAAGGTCTCAGGTAGAGGTCTTAGTTCACATCCCTGACTACTTGATTGTTTTAAGTGGAGAAGCTGGGGATTGAACCTGGGACTTCTGTGTGCCAAGCACCTGCAGCTATTTGCAGATGGCAGAGTACCATCTGCCCATTTTAAAACAGGACTATTCATTTATTTATTTATTACACTTCCGTCCTGCCCTCCCCTGTGAGCAGGCTCAGGGTGTGGTTCACAACAAGGATTCGACCAAGTAAAACATTTAAAACACAGTTAACAATAATTTAGTTTAAAACCACAAGATAGTGAAACAGTTTTACAGATCCCATGTGTATGCCTAGATGACTTCAGTAACTAGGTGGGCAGGAGCACCATTAATAAGATGAAACGAAAGGGACGGGATGAGGCAGGGGAGGCCACTGTAGCTGGACACCCACCACCTCAGCTGCAGGCCTGGCGGAACAGCTCCGTTTTGCAGGCCCTGCGAATAAGTCCAGTAAGTCCCGCAGGGCCCTGATCTTTGGATTGGGGTGGTTAACCTTTCAGTGAACTAGCGATGCTAGTCCTGAAACAAGATTATTTCTCTCACTCTCCTCCATCCCAGTACAAATTGGAGGGGGGAGGATTTATTTCATTAGCTTGACAGTGTAAAAAAAGCACAAAAGCACCATTCTTAGTAGCATCAGGAAGGGGTAGGAGGTCTCCACTGACTGTGGTGGTCTGTGGGTTTGGGCTAGTTTGTTACAAAACTTGGTGTTGGTTTTGCTGTATACTGGAGGGGAAATTGCTTGCTTGGTGTCGGTGTCTGAATTTTTCTTTTTTAATTTTTTTCTATCTCACTTACTGCTCTTCCTTTGGAGAAGAAGGGGTACACACGGAGGAACTGGACAGTGAACTAGGTAAATCATCCATCTCTCATTTTTTGCTGTGTCACTTGGTCTGCACCGTTATAACTGCTTAACATCTTTTTTTTTCCTTTGTATCACTTTTGCTTCTTTTAATTTAAAACAAGCCTAATGTGACAGCAAACTGTAGCCGAGTTTTACTGTACAGAGAACTGCTTTTTGCATCACGAGATGATTGCAGACAAGGTCCTCCTTGTACAAAGTCTCATCACCCCTCCCCCCACGATAATAGAAATTCTCTAAAGATGGATCAACACAGCTAACTACTTCTGCTGGCCAGTTCTTGGTGGATTTGTGCAGCAGTGGTGTAACCATGCAGTGCTTGTATGTACATGACTTCTTCCATGCAGACTGGCATGATGACACCATGCCACAGTGTAAGTTTTTCGTATGCATTCTGCCATGTGGTTTGTACTTCACTTCAGGTGGCCAGACCAGAATGGATACCTGTAAGCCCGCTGTCCCAATAAGGCGTTCAGAATCTGGAACAAATCCCGTATCGTATTTCAGTAGTTTGATTGAAGCTGTGCTGAAAACCTGGTTATTGCCAAACCATTTTCTAGCCCTGCCCAGCTGTCAGATTTAAACGGCATAAAACAGTGGCTGTTGTGTGGCTCGGGTTGTGTCCATCAAGTCTTGAAATCGGGCATCTCACAGACTTCTCCTTGGTTAGAAAATTGCAAAGTCACTGTTTCTGCCCGATACAAAGTACTGTTCTGCGTTCACCACACCCACTCTTTTCTCATCCTTTATTGGTTTCAATTTGAATGCAATGTAGAATCCATTCACAGAGCAGGCATTAGCTCTCGTTTCATGCCAACCTGAGAGAGGGTCAGTGTGGTGTCACAGTTAAGAGTGTCAGACTAGAACCCGGGAGACCCAGTTTTGAATCCCCACTCTGCCATGGAAGATCGTTGGGCGATCTTCGGCCAGTCTCACTCTCTCAACCAAACTTACCTCTCAGGGCTATCGTGGGGATAAAATGGAGGCGAATGTAAGCTGCTTTGGGTTCCATTGGGGAGAAAAGCAGGGTATGAATAAAGTAAATAAATATTAGGAGGCATGCGTTAGGAACATAAGGAGCTATTTCACTGGTCAAAAAAGAGTTGGTCAGTGGACCCTCAAGCCATTTTCAAATGATTGGTCAGTTAATAATAAAGTCATTAGAAAGCACACAGAAACATTTTCATTATCAACATGTTTGGAATGGCTTTTGCTAATTACAAAATCAGATTAGTTAACTGTTACAGTGAAACAGTGAAGCAAGGTTTCAATTTTTTGTTTTTGTTTTAAAGTTAAAGCAGTGTTAGGTAAGGTAGCTACCTTGAATGAATGTACTTCGCTTAGTAGTTTTCCATGAACACCAAAGTCAGTTTCAAAATGGAAAAAATGCAAAGTAAACACAAAACAAAGTAACAACTATTTTAAAAAAATGGAAGTCAGATTTTAAAAAAGGGTGGGGGTGGGGAGACCAGGTCTCAAAGGCAGTTGTGTAAGGCAACGCCATGGCCAGTTTGCCTCGCTTGATGATACTTGCAGTTCTTTCGAGTGGTCAGCAGGGGCTTTGTTCTGCTGCTAGTTCTGCCCCTGACTGCTAGAGATCAAGGGGGCAGCAGCCCCCACATCTCCCCTTGCTACCAATGAGACCCTAAGGGTGTACAAAAAGGCAAGGTGTTCACCTGCAGAGGGGCATTCCTATGGAATATTTGACCAGTCAATAACAGGCAGTCATAGGAATGCCAGCCTCCCAGTGAGACCTGGGGATCCTTTGGAATGACAGCTCATCTCCAGACCACAGAGGTCAGTTCCCCTGGAGAGAATGGATGCTTTGAAGGGTGGACCCTGTGGCACTGTACCCCACTGAGGCCCCTCTCCTCTTCAGGCTCCACCCCCAAATCTTCAGGAGTTTCTCAGCCTGGAGCTGGCAACCCCACCCACCCCCACAAGTGGCCAGGGAGGACCTGGCAGCCCTAGGCAGTCAGTTGACTTGGGCTAGTTGTCAATATGTCATCTAGTAAGCCAAGCCTGGTCAGGCGTGGATTTTGGAAATTTGTAGTGTTTCAGTTTGCTGCAGTATACAATTAACTATGGTGCTGGAGAAGACTCTTGAGAGTCCCTTGGACTGCAAGAAGATCAAATCAGTCAATCCTAAAAGAATTCAACCCTGACTGTTCCCTGGAAGGCCAGGTAATGGAACTGAAGCTCAAATACTTTGGCCACCAAATGAGAAGGGAGCACTCACTGGAGAAGACCCTGATGCTGGGAAAGATTGAAGGTCAAAGAAGACGGGGACGGCAAAAAATGAGATGGTTAGACAGTGTCATAGATGCAACGAACATGAAATTTGGCAAACTTCAGAGGACGGCGGAAAACAGGAGGGCCTGGCGAGATCTTGTCCATGGGGTCGCGAAGAGTCGGACTCGACTGTGCGACTGAACAACAACAACAATTAATGAGTCATGTGAATTTTAAAAGTTAATCAGAATGCCAAATGGTGCTAGATGCTCCTCAGAATTATATATTTTGCAAGTCTTTTGAGTCTGAATTTCACCCACAGCTGATTTGTTGATTATATTTAGCAAATGTGTTGCTGTGTGTTTGCAGAGCTAAATGCTAGAAAAGTGGGATAGGAAGTATAGATCTCCAAACACTTTGGGGATACGTTTGGAGAGCTGAAACTGACCTGCAGCTTCCTGACGTATCTGCTCTGTGTTCTTTTTTGGTGATAATTATTTCCTTCACAGTTTGTGATGTTTAATGCCTCAGACAATGGTGTGGAAATGACCAATGCGCTTGTTAATTTTCCTCTTGGTTTTGCATAGTGTTAATTGGCCCTTAGTTTCTGTAAAGTGAGAATAATCCCAAACATGCTTTATATCTGAGGGCTACAGCCAGCTTCCGGCATAGCCATTAGTAGAGCGTTCTGCATGACAACTGATAGTGTGATGAACAGATGAACACAGAGACAAATAAGGAAAAAAATAATCTGATCAGCTACCAGTATAGCTGCAAGAGGAGCCAGCCCCAGCCAAGGTGGCATGGAGCTCTCAGCTTCTGCCACCCCGGCTGACCCTGGGCTGGCTCCTCTTGCAGCTCGATTATTCATTATACCCCATGGGGACGATTGACTATAAAATTTGGGTTTCCTGAATATTCAGCAAATACTATACCAGTTTTAGGATTTGGGAATATCAGAAAATACCAATATTTTTGGGTCCAGTATAAAAAGGTAAAGGTAAAGGTTCCCTTGCTCGAAAGCCAGTCGAATCCAACTCTAGGGTTGCGGTGCTCATCTCCGTTTCAAAGCCGAAGAGCCAGCGCTGTCCGAAGAGATTTCCGCGGTCATGTGGCCGGCATGACTAAATACCAAGGTGCATGGAACGGTGTTACCTTCCCACCGAAGTGGTACCTATTTATCTACTTGTAATTTCTTGCTTTCGAACTGCTAGGTTGGCAGGAGCTGGAACTAGAGACGGGAGCTCACTCCGTCATGCGGCACCCGGGTCTCGATCTGCTGAACTACTGACCTTCCACAGCCTGCAGTTCAGCGTCTTAACCACTTGAGCCACCGCAGCTCCTGTGTCCAGTATACCCAAACCCAAAAAATACCAGGGTGGGGTGGCTGGCACACCCCTAGTTGTAGGTTTTTAAAAAGTCATTGTCTTCTATGCCTCATCCTTTTAATTTTCAATATCTGTTTTACTGCCTATTCAAGACAAAGTTGTCTTGCCTCCATACACAGAGCCCTCATTTACGAAGCAATGTAGAAAGGACCGACTTACCATTTCTTGCCAAGCATTTCCTCCCACCACCACCACCACCATCCCTGAATGATCACTGGCTTGCATTTGCTTCCTCTGTCTCTCAAGGAATCCAAAGATGCTTCAGACGGGTGGAACGTGGGTGGGGGAAGTTGGAGGGGAAACCTGCCTGTTATTTGCAAACATGGAACATGTGGAGCAAAACTCACGCAATATTTTTCCCCCTTGATTCTCAGCCAGTTCTGAATTACAAATATAAACTTTGAGTAATTAGCCCATGTGTGTTTATGTGGGTTTCAGTCTGGAGCTATTTGTGTCCGTATGGCAGTGCAGTTGGAAGATGGCACACTGGGTAGCGGCCTCATATTGATTAATGGGGAGCTGTTGGATTGCATCAGCTACACTACCGATTACATTTCCTGTTGAATTGTGAGAATAAATTGGGGGAGCGAGAACCATGTACACCTCCCTGAGCTTCTTGGAGGAAGGAGGGGATAAAAATGCACCAGATAAATCGATAACATAGGAAGAGGCAACACGTCAGGCTACGTCAGAAAAAGACGATTCTTTATATGGGTGTCTGTGCCTCCCTCTCTGTGTCTCTTTTAGCGTTTTCAGAAGAAGAGCACGCTGATACCCTGCTGGGGCTGTGGTGGGGAGTAGTTCGATACAGTTGTCCCTCGGTGTCAAAAATTGCTATGGAGACCCAGCATGCCAGGAAGTCTGGGTCTGCCCTTCTCTCTGATGCGGTTTAGTGTATAAGGAGTTCTTATTATCGGAAAGCATTTAAATCACATATTCTCCACCTGACATGGTACAGTCCTAAGGAGGGCCACCCCATGTAAATGTATGCATTGCCTTCTTGACAGGAATCCAGAGTTCAGACATAAAGAAAACCAATTCATCTAATGATGGGTTAGTGAGATTGTTTGAACGTGCGCCTCTCCACTGGTCATTTTTTTTACCCATCTTCTGAAATTGGCAAATTAACCCCAGCTAATCCCAACCCTTGCTTGGTGTACATATGCATACATCCAGGATTGATCCTGACTAGGGTTGCCAAGTCAAAAAATCTTACCGGCGGGGGAGTCTTGCTGGGCTCCGGGAGCCGTCCCTCGAGGCACCGGAAGTGACGTGCGACGTCGATCACATTGAAGGCGTGGCCCCGATCGTCGGAGGGAAAACCATAGAGTTTTCCCTCCGATGATCCGGGCCACGCCCCAAACGTGATTGATGTGGTTGTGTCACCTCTGGTGACACAGCCATGCTGCGTTTCGGGGGGCGGAGTTCCCCCCAGGGCTCGATTCCGCGGCGGCGGAAATCAGGCCTCCGAAGCGGGGGTTTACCCGCCACCCGCCCCCACTTGGCAGCCCTAATCCTGACTTGTTTCCCAGTGCTACCTTTGCACTTCCCCAACCACAGAGATTCCAGGCCAAAACAAAAGCTATGAAGCCATAATTTAGTGGGGCAGTGGGATTTGAATGATTATCCGCAAGTCAGATCCTGGCATCGTGAACTAGCCAATGTCTAAATAAACTATGGCTTCATGTTGTGTCTGAACTGAGCCACAAATGTGTACAAACTCTTAATGGAGATTCAAAATCAACCCCCCCTTTTTCTTGGTTTGTTGGTTTTATGTCTGATGGGAAAACGAACAGACACTTTGAAAATTACAGGTTCTCTTTCCTCTATGTTGAAAGATATGTTCTTTCCATAAAGACCTTATAACACAAAGTTTGTTTATTTATTTATTTATCAAATTTATATATTTATACCCCGCCCTCTCCGCCGAAGCAGGCTCAGGGAGGCTTACAGAAGGATTGAAACACATAAATAACAGTTAAAACAATCCTAAAACCTTCTAAAACAGTCCAGATATAAAGGTGCTAGTACATATTAAGTCTGACAATAATAGTAATGTTGTTTAGCGATGGCTGCAGCAATTTGATGACCTTTCCTATTGATCCACTGCTTGTGCTGCTTCTTATGTGGCAGGCACAGGCTGTTGTTGGTGACTCTGAGGGACAGGGCTTACAATTATTGGGGGTGGCTCCTTAGTTGAAGGCCTGGTGGAAGAGCTCTGCATAAGGTCCCGCAGGGCCCTGGTCTCTTCTGGGAGCTTGTTCCACCAGTATGGAGCCATCACCGAAAAGGCCCTGGCCCTGGTTATGGCCAGGCTGGTGTCTTTAGGCCCCGGGAGGGTCAGTTGATTTTGGGACCCTGACCACAGTGCTCTCTGGGGAACATGTGGGGAAAGGTGGTTCCTCCGGTATGTCAGCCCCTGACCATAAAGGGCTTTAAAGGTAAGAACCAGCACCCTGAAGCAGATTCGGTATGCTATTGGTAGCCAGTGCAGTGCTTTCAGCGCAGGCTGGATGTGCTCCCGTATAGGGAGGCCCATCAACAGCCTGGCTGCTGCATTTTGCACCAGCTGTAGCTTCCAGATCTGAGACAAGGGCAACCCCATGTAGAGAGCATTATAGTAGTCTAGTCTTGAGGTGACCATTGAGTGGGTCACTGTTGCCAAGTCGTTGCGCTCAAGGAAGGGAACCAACTGCCTGATCAGTTAAAGATGATAAAAGGCTGACTTGGCAGTGGCTGCTACCTGGACCTCCATTGTTAAGGAAGCATCCATGAGCACTCCCAAACTCCTCATCTCTGGCGCTGGCACCAGTGGAGCCCCATCGAAGGTTGGTATCCCTACCCTCGGCTCACCCCAGCTCAGGCACAGGACCTCCGTCTTCATTGGATTCAATTTCAGTCAGTTCAGTGTAAGCCATCCAGGCACAGTTTGTAATGCCCGGTCCAGATCTTCTGATTTAGTCGGACTGGCCACCCAACAACAGAGCTGGGTATCATCAGCATACTGGTGACATCCCAGCCCATGCCTCTGGGCAATCTGGGCAAGGGGGTGCATATAGTTATTAAATAGCATCGGGGAAAGCACTGCCCCTTGGGGCACTCCACAATCCAGTGGGTGCCTTCGGGTTACCTGCTCCCCTAGTCCCACCCTTTGTCCCCAACCTTGGAGGAAGGAGGCAAGCCATTGCAAGGCAAGCCCGTGGACTCCAGTGTCGGCAAGGTGGTGAATCAGTACCTGATGGTCAACCATGTTGAATGCTGCCGATAGGTCCAACAACAACAGCACTGCTGAGCCACCCTGATCCAGATGCCTTCAGAGGTTGTCCGTGAAAGTGACCAGAGCCATCTCCATCCCGTGGTCTGGGCGAAAACCAGACTGGAAGGGATCTAAAATGGAAGCATTATCCAAAAAGCTCTGTAACTGGATTGCCACAGCCCTCTCTATTATCTTGCCCAAACAGGGCAAGTTGGAGACCAGCCGGTTATTTTCCAATTTGGCCAGGTCCAAAGATGTTTTTTTTCAGGAGAGAATGGACCACTGCTTCCTTGAGTGCCCCAGGGAGCAGTCCCTTCAAGAGGGACTTATTAATAATTTCCCTTAGGGCACCTCGAAACCCATCATGGCCAGCTTTAATCAGCCACGAAGGGCACGGGTCAAGGCAGCATGTGATGGGGCGTGGAGTTGCCTCCATTTATGGTATGCCCACGGAGAGCAAGTGATGGATTAGTATGTGTTGAATTGCTTGTGAATGCATTATTTGCAAGTAGATGTTGGGGGGTGTTGGACCATATGGCCACCCTATTTTATACTGCCATGCCTTAACCCTATTTTATACTGCCATGTCATAACCGCCCTGAGCCCGTTTGCGGGGAGGGCGGGGTATAAATACAATCAAATAAATAAATAAATAAATAACCCATCTTAAGGTTTTTAAAAAATGAGAGTAATTTTCTTCAAATGGAAATAGCTCAAGATGGGTTGCTGTGTTTGTCTGTAGGAGTGGAAAAGAGCAAGAGTCCAGTAGCACCTTAAAGACTAGCAACATACGTGGGAGGGTATGAGCTTTCGTGAAGTGAGCAGGGAAAAACCAGAAGATATGTGGGATAGCAATCACCAGAAACTCTGTGATAAAATCCTAGAGTTTCCGGCAATTCCTAGAGCTACTCTTCATCCCTGGATGTGACCTAGTGACATCACTGATGTCACGCCCCCCCCCCCTATGTCCCTGCCCCCAACTCCCCACTACCACCAGTTGCCAGGCTCGGCCCGGCAACCCTAGTGTTTGTAGACATCTGTCTCCTTTCTTTTTCATTGACAGAAAGCAAAATAGTTTTTAAAACAAACTCAGATGTACACTCAATTGGTGTTTCTTCATCGACTAATTGTGGTTACCGAAGTATTTACGCCTCCATTTTAGCAAGCCTGCCAGCAAGAAGCTGGGCGCTTTCCCTAAGCATTCCCCCATATCTTGTTGCTGCATTTATTCCCCCTGCAGTCGCTTTAAAACCGAAAATCACTTTACGGCATGATTAAGGGATAATGATTCTGTGACAAGTTTTGTAACATGATAAAATGACTGCACGTGCACAGAGACTTCTGCTGTCAGCTCCGAGATTCTGATTCATTTCAGTTATGATAAGAAATACTAAATGCCTTGAATAGAGTCAAGAGACACTTGCTGCTAATCAAGTCATGTTAGCAGCATACTGAGCACTGAGAGTTCCTTTGTGTGGTGCCTCTAATTAATGAGGCCTGAGCAGTTTCTATCAAATAGACGTGTTGGGGTGGACGTCAACACCAGGCCCGTAGGTCCCTCAAACACAGCCCATGCCCATTACCTGAGATACCCGCAGAAGGCCAAAGAGTCAATTGAGATAAAGAGGATTGTTGCTAGCACTTTATTTTGTTTGAATTTTAATGTTGTATTTATTAATGTATGTGATTTTATTATGATTGTTTTATGCGAATTTTATTGTTGTAAGCCGCCCTGAGCCAGCCTTGGCCGGGAGGGCGGGATAAAAAATTAATAATAAGTTAAAATAAAATAAAATAAAATAAAATAAATAGCATGGCGATGAGGAGATCACTGCTGTGAAGAATTTAATTGCCGGTTGAAGAATGTGAAATGCCAGCCATGACTTGGATCCCACCTAGAATTTCCACATTTTCAGAGTAGGGAGTGCTTTTCACAGACCCCCACCCCAAGCCCACAATGTCCCTGAAATGCTGCTCCTGAGGGACAGGAGACCTTCAGAAACCCTTAAAACAGGATCTGGGTTTCCTGGGAGGGGGGAGAATTCCCACTTGTGCCCACAGTAAATCTAGGTGGAATCCAACACATAATATTTTTATTTGTTCCTAGGTCCTGTGGCATTAGTAGTGAGTTCCCATTATGCTGTGTTGTCCCTCAGTTTTCAAATAGACATCCACAACCGTGAGAACTGAGAACTTTTTGAAGGGGGGAGGAGGGACAGTTATTGGGATTCTCTGACACAACACAACCCACCACAGAACAGCAAGCTCTTAGGAGACTGATGCATTGGGCTCTGGCCCATGAAAAGCACCCATCACCACAGACTTATTGATCTCTTTGTTGACTTAATTGCTGCGGAAGAAACAATTTACAATCCGAATAATAAAGTAAATCCGCTGTGGTGGGTGAAGGAAGGGCTAAATTGTGTGTGATGAAGTCATTCCGTCTCCCCAGCCTTCTAGATGTGCTGGCAGCTGCTGATAGTTTTCCTTCTTCAAGGGACGGGAGTTGCAAGTGCAGGGGAACGAGCCCTGGCCAGAAGTGAGGCTGCAGAGCGGAGCACTGGAAGCCCCCCCCCCCACGTTGATGTGTTCAGAACTTTTCATTGCTTACTTGCTGACGACAGTGACACACGTCTTACTGCATGAAATGTCGGGAGATAGGATGACTGGCTTCGGAAGCAAACCTAGAGTGTTTCGAAGTCGCCTTGAGCCCTTCTGAAATAGGCAGGTTATAAATGTGTGAAAATAAATTTAAAATAAGCCTGAAAAATAAGCAATGGATATTCGTTTGTTTTTAGAACTACCTGCTGGTTGGGAAAAGATTGAAGATCCTGTATACGGTGTCTACTATGTAGAGTAAGTACATTTGACTTTGTTTTGATTCCTGCGAGTCACATTAACTCACTGTGAAGAAGCTGCCTTCTAAACACTGCTGGCCCTGGACTGGATGGCCCTGGCTAGTCCGATCTTGTCAGACCTTGGAAGACTAAGCAGGGTTGGCCCTGGTTACTAGTTGGATGGGAGGAATTCCTCCAAGGAATTCCAGGACTGCTGTGCAGAGGCGGGCAATGGTAAGCCACCAGCGTTCCCTCTAAGCTGAGTTAGTGTGAGCTAGCTCACCGTTTTTTAGACTCCGGCTCACACATTTTTTGTCTCAGCTCAGGAAGGACAGCTCCTGAGCAAACTGATTTATGCAGCAGCCAAATGGCTCGCTCACAACTTTATTGCCAGTAGCTCACAGAGTAGAATTTTTGCTCACAAGACTCCACAGCTTAGAGGGAGCGTTGCAAGCCACCTCTTTTAGTCTCCTGCCTCGAAAACCCTATCAGGTTGCCATAAGTCAGCTTGGACTTGAAAGCACTTCACACATGCAGGCACACACACTGCTGAATTCCTCAAATTCCCCATTTGCCATTGGGAAGCTAGCCTCTGCTTGCTTTCGTGTTACCTTACTGTGATGCTATGTGTTGATCTGTAGCTGGCAGCACAAGCCTTTAATAGTGTCCTTTTTAAAAATAGCATGAGTGCTTGAGTGAGAGAGGACACATCATGCATTGCTCTTCTGCACCCCCTGGTGGTCTTTGCGAGAAACAATCAACCTTTCAAATCTCTAATAGGGAAATTTCATTTTCGCGATGCATGGAACACCTTAACAGCATTTCATAATCTGGCTTTTGGAAATGTAGTTTATAATAAAGTTAAGTGGGTGTGGCCCACAGTACCAAGCCCTAAGAAATGTCAGCTCCTTTAGGCAAAGCAGAGGTTAAAATATCAATAGGTCTACAAGGTGAATGTCACCAATAAGAGGCCCTCTTGTTAACAGGATTCATTTTAGGTGAGCTGAAGTTGAGCACACATTTTGGGATTTGCTTTTTTACTTTTGGATTTATATCAATGTGGTTAGAAGGGTATCTATAAACTAGCTTTTAAAAAATGTACATAGCAAAAATGATTCCAAGATTCAGGAGAGAAATGAGCTGTGAGGAGTCTTTCAATATGGGGGGTTGGTAAGTGGCAGGGTAAAGGAAGGGAAATGAGTGGCTTCAATGTATTTTTCTCCAAACTTTGCAATTTAGATGACAGGCCATTCCTTTAGGTGATCTGAGATTCAAATGTGTTTCCATCACTGACTCCTTAAGAATGAATTTGCAATTCTGTGTGCATACTTGTCTACAAGGATGGCTTACATTAGCCTTGAAAATAGATGTGGAACACAATGCCCCTTTGTTCATTTTAGCTCATGCCCTCCTCAGCTTGGGATCCAAGGTTAACAAACAGTATAATTAAAATGTATTTTGCCGGAGAGATCAGGGCTAAATATTTTTCAGGGTTTCCCAGTATTCATTCCAAGAGATATCTCCAATTCCTTCTGGACACTCAGTGTGTGTGTGTGTGTGTGTGTGTGTGTGGCATGTGTATGCTTGTGTGTTGATGCCCAGCATGTGCATGCATGAGCACTTGTGTGCCTGCTTCTCTTAGGTTCACTTCTGTAGTGGGATTAGGATTGAAACCTAAAATGGGAGAATAAAACAGTGGCCATGGTCCAAAACGCTACATGCCGTGGTGAACATCTGCATTGGTGCATATCAGGACCCCATTCCTGCCACAGTCCTTTGTATGTGTATCACCCCCACAGCCATTCCTGAAGGCTGGCATACTCTTCAGAATGGTATTCAGTATGGCACAAAGAGTCACTTTGCACATGCACACAGGTGTATGACTCCTTTTTTCTTGATGCCCTAACTTTACTCCTGGTATGGCCGGCTGGCTGGCCCTGCAAACCCTGACCAGTGTGTGAGGGCCTCTCGTGGCCCATTCGAGAGTGAACACGAACAGGCCAGAAGCAGCACACTGATGCCAGTGGGAAGGCATGGGCAAGGGCAGGACAGTTGGGGATTTAAAGGAAAGCCTGGGGAAAGGTGGGGGGAGGTCAGAGGAGGAGGCAGCACCCTCAGGGGAGGAAGTTGCAATGGGGGGAAGTTGCAGTGGTGGAGAAGGAAGCCACAGGGGCAACTGGTGGCTCAGAGGCAGGGAAGGCAGCAATGACTGCCCAAAGCAGGGCCAGGAGCGACTGGGAAGCTGGGCCTAGAGAGACTTGGGAATGGAATAAGGAAGGGGACTGAGGGCACAGTGGTCTAAAGGCACAACGGGGGGAGGGGGCTAATGGGAATAAGAGGTTGTAAAATGTAACTGTGGCCAAGGAGAAACTCGGGAGGGTGACTGCTGCTGGTCAATCCAAGGGGGACACCCAGTCTGAGGCCACATAGAACTTGACTCCAGGGATATACGCTTTTGCTAATTTCTTTTTCTTTGTCCATCTAGACTTGTGACTGGTGCTATTTCTGGATGTATCTGGAGCGCAACTTAGAACCGAGATTTTAAAAAGCTATCATGCTTCTTGATGCCTGTGATGTTTTGCTATCTTGTATTTAGGGTTGCCAAGTCGAAATAGCTGCACGCACGTCACCCAGAAGTGACGTGACGACGCCGGGCACGCTGGGGGCGGGGCCATGACCATCCGAGGGAAAACCATAGAGTGGTCCCCGCCCCCAGCGTGGTCGCGTCACTTCTGGGTGACGCGCACGTCGGGGTGGGGTTCCCCCCGGGGCCTGATCTGCCGTTGGCTGGGAACGGGCCTCTGGGGTGGGGCTTTCCCCGCCCCCCCGGGGGAACTTGGGAAGCCTACTTGTATTGGAGGGTCAATGCAAACAATATGTTGTCAGTTCAGATGTAGCAGCCAACCATGGTTTATACTGAAGCTGGATTAACGAGTGGAATTGAAGCACACAGGAAGAGGAGTGTGTGAGGGAGCACAAGGCTTGTGAGCGCATGGCTTGTTGCTGTGTCCGAATCCACCCTTTGGCCTTGCTATGGAGGGCTTCCAGCTTGGTTTCCTAAGATCAATATATAATGAACATGGTTAGACAGGCAGGTTTGAGGGAAGTATCTAATCCCTGCCCTCAGAATATGCTTTCTGGGACTCAGTATCATGGGTCAGACTTTGATCCCTGTGAATGCTTCTTTTATATTTCTGAAATAGAGCTTAAGAATCAAATAAGCACCAAAGTTTGTTCCAGATGTTGACCCATCCTTAGATCCATTCCGGCCAGCCTCACTGGTTGCATGATTGAGATCAGCATTTGAGAGCTTGCTGGACTGGGCACACTTAAATAGAGCGTTGCATGCCATGAGGCCTGAAGTGTGCCGAGGAGCAGTGTGTTTTGTCCCTAAAGGAGAAGAGAACACGTGTGTGGCCAATACGGTGGATTTTGCCTCAAGAACATCAGTGCATAGGCCAGTAATTATATGCAAAACACCTGCTAGTCCAAATTTAGACTAGTGTTTCATGTGGGAAATCAAACGAAACTAAGGACACCCGCTGGTAATGGCTGCACGCCCATCTGTCGAGGCGACTGGGAGGGCAAGGGAACTGGTACAAGAGCTTCATCATTGAACTAAAAGAAGAGAACGGGTGGTGCCCTCTCTGTGCCACATGCACCCTTACTTCACTTCCTGTTTTCTGCCTGGCCACAACAGTGAGACCAGTTTTGTCAGCCCCATACCCAGAATTTTTTTTTTTGCTAGGGGCCCCCCAAGGGGGCAGTTTAGTACAGTGGGAGCTGACGACATCACAGGGAGGTTGTTGTTAGGGAAATACAGAGGAGGAGAGACATGGCTAGGTAAGAGTTGACAGGTAAAAATGGGGGGGGGAGCAGCAAAATTATAAAGAAAGGTCAGGATTTGTGTCTGGAAGTTGCATTCTTTCTGAAGCACTGTGTATAGCTCTGGAATCAAAGCCTACCCCCAGAAGATCCAAGATGGCTGGCAAACGTTGCTGAAGGACCTGGGAGAGCCCCTTGAGGTTTTACAGACACAACCTGGTTTCCTCAGCTAGCTAGCAGCAGCAGGAGCACAATAACCCCCTGAGCAGCCCTTTGATCCCTGGTGCCCACAGGCTATTCTCCCCACATCCTCTCCCCGGCCCGGCCTGTGCGAGAGGAGAGCAAAGACAGGAACTTTGTCTTGCACCTTCCAAAGCAGCTCAGGCATTACAGTCACACAGGCAGCAAGCCGAGTGTGGGTTGAGACGTGCTTCCCCTCTCCCGGCAAGCCAGGCGGGCACTTCACAGAGAGGGGGCAGGAAGGAGGCACAGCTGTTTGGGGAGGGTGCCAGGCACTCACAGGCACCCCCGTGCATACGGGCCTGAGTTTCATTAGTGTCTTTTCTGACTCTGACTCTCTGTGAGGTGGATCGGTTTCTGGGACTCCACATCCATGGGCGTCTGATAAAAGTAAACAGGAGTGGCCCTGGCTCCACTGAGTGACCTCAGGCAGCCCTCAAATACCTGTGATCAGAAGGAAGGGATTCCAGACAACCTGAAGGAGGGTGTGTGTGTGTGTGTGTGTAGCCGCCCGGCTTGAATTGGCTGAGGAAGGGACGGTTGGCAACTGGAACTCCCAGGATGCAAAGGCTTGGCACAAAATCCTGTTCTTGGTTATGAATGGGAAATCAGAAGGCTATTTCTTCACATCTATTACACTCATTAAAGTAATGGGGTGTTATTGAAAGTAGGGCCTTTGTTTTATGACTACCAAGTGTGATTTGGACCCTTTAATTGTATTGCTCTTGTTTTTCTAATAAGTTTTGTGTTTATATTGTGTTAACTGCAACAAGGGCTGCAGTCCAGATGGGGACAATTGAGGGCAAATCATACAATCAGGGTTTGCATTAAGGAAAAAGAATTAATGCAAACTATATCCAGAGAAGATATAAGCACATGCACTTTACCGTAAGGAAAGCTGAGCTGCTTATATGAGGGGCTTGAAATCTGTTAGGATTAATGATGCCGCACACTTAGAAATATTAGATTTGTAATACGAATTTCCTGGCCTTGCAGTTCTTGATTTTTATTCCCCTTGCCCTGAAATAAATACTCAGTTTGCAATTTACAACAAGTTTTGTTTTGAGTTCATGGCCTGCCTTTGGGCCTGCACCTTCGGAAGATGGTGTATGCCAGAAATTGGTTACTTTAACTCCTTAACTTGGTCTCTGCAAAACTGTCCTAATAACAGATATTGTCTTGAGCTTTTTGTTAGCAAGCATGTAATTTACAGAACCCCGGCTTTGTCTGAAGGCCAGCAGTCATATCATTATCAGGTTGGCAAAGTCATGCATTCCCCAGGGGCATGGCATGCATCACCTGGTAAAGAAGACCTTTACAAAAGCAAACGAGAAGGCTGGAAAATAAAAGCCCTTCTAGTCCCAAAACTATTGAGAGTCAGGGCGGAACCATTATACTCCTGAACAACTGCACGCTCTCTAAGGCAATCTTACGAGAAGAATGTGGGGGGAAATGTAATTAAATTCTCCAATGATATATTTTTTTTAAATTCCCAACCTTTGCACATGTCTGGCTTCCCCCATTCTTGCAGTGCTGTTCCCAAGCAGCAATGCAACCATGTCCATGCACAGTAAAGTAAACCAACTAACTCTTGATAAAAAGGCTGATTCCCCCCCCCCCCAGTTGTTCTCAGAGGCCATTTGTGATTGGTGACCCAGTTACACTGGCAGCCCAATTAGTGATGGGGGAAGTTCACCCGTTTAATGATGCTTCAACAGCTCTGTTTCCTTCCTATAGTGTGATGCCAAAGGACTTTGCAAGAATGATGGCACCGATGCCACTGCTAGGTGGTGGTTGTTTTGCCATGTGCACAGTGCTGGAACCTGCACCGTCACACTAGCACGGTGACATTAATGTTTTGTCCTGTGTTCTTCTGTGCCCTTCTAGCAGAACGTCTAGGAACGGAGTGTACATTAGGCAGTGTTATGAACCAAGACTCCTGGCAGTAGATCCCTCTCCTCCAGAGAGGTGCCGTTCCATTATTTTCAGTGGAACTGTGCCCAAAACTGGACAGACATTGATTGTGTGTTTCTTTTTCATGGGTCATCCAGGCGTGAACGAGTAGTAATTTGGGAAGTGACAGTTGGATGCTGGCACAGGCTCCCTGAAAACAGTGGAGGTTGTAGGTGTGCCTGGGGAAAATTAGTGAGCTCGATAGAGACCTGACTTTGGGAAAATCTTCAATTAAAAACATTACTTGTCAACAAGACCTTAGTGACTTCGTTAATGGCTTGATTCCTTGCAACAGGATTAATTTCCATTATGCGTGTCTTAGAAACATTCCTCACCTGTCCTCTTTCCTACACTGACATAACAGAGTTTAGAGAAACCTTATGCTAGCTTTAGTAGCTGTCAGCTAGGTTTGTTTATTTACTTTTTAATCGTTATTTGGAGCCCCATCACTTACAACATTTGGTGTGTAGCTCATATGTGACCTTTCAGTTCAGCCATTCTGTGTTTTATTCCGTTGTGTCATAAGTCGCTTGTGTACAGTGTGATAACAGAGCAGGTTGATCAGATAGCAT